TTCCAGGCACAAGGTAGGATTGCACTATCTGGATCTTCTATGGATGGGTAAGACCCTGGGACTAATTCTGGACAGTGAGTCACACGCAGAAATAACACATGCCATTTATGGACAAAGCCAATGCAAGGCCCTCTAGAGCTCTTTTCCTCCCTCTGGTATGATGATGATTGCTAATGCTCCAGAGAGTGGCTGCTCTTCATCAGCCTAGATCTAGCACTGAGGAAGAAAACAATCTGAGAACAGAGTCAGCAGCTGGCTCCTAAGAGACGTGCATTATGAGCAAGAAATATTTGTATTGTTTTAAGCCTCTCAGTTTTGGGGTTGTTCTCTCAGTATGGCATAACCTATCCTGATTGATAGTCAGTGCAACTGGTTGGGAGAGAGCTAGAGGGAGAGTGGTAGAAGATGAGATCTAAAGGATATGTGGAGGCCAGATTGTGCAGAGCCCTGTAGTATAATTTTGGATTTCGTTCTGTGTGAAGAAAAATCAATCTTTGGAGAACTTCAAGCTGGGGAATGACAGGATATGATTTATCTTTCCAAAGAATCACTTAATCACATAGGGGAAAGTCGTTGTTCATAGGAAGTACACACTGAAGCATGGAGGGATAAAGTATAACGTCTACAACTTATTTTCAAATGGTTCCGTAAAGCGTGTCTGTGTGTATTTGCATGCGTGTACATGCACAGAGGGTAAAACGTTAACTGGTGAACCTAGATTAAGGGTACGTAGGTGTTCATTGTACTCTTTGAACTTTTTTGTGGGTTTGAAATTTTTTTAGATAAAAAGTTGGGGGGCGCAATCACTCTAGATAACTACAAAGTGAGACAGAAGCAAAGAAGCCCATTAGAAGGATAGTGCAGGTGAGACATGAAGTGGTTCGGGCTGGCCTGGCAATTCTGAGAAATGGGCGGATCTGAAATCTCTTTTGTATGTGGTGCCAGGATTTGCTGATAGATCAGCTGGGGGATGTGAAGAAAATAGGAATCAATGTGTCTCTTAGGTTTTTGTCCTGAGCAAGTGGGAGACTGGCAATGTCATTAATTGAGATGGGACAACAGTGGAAGGGCCAGGTTTGGGGATGGGAAATAGCAACTCTATTTTGGACATGTTAAGGGTAAGCATCCAAGGGGAGACTGGATTGGCAGCTGGATAAATGAGTTAAGAAATCAGATAAGACGTCTTGGCTGGAAATATAAAATTTGGAATTACCAGCATCTAGTGGCACCCAAGGAACTGGAGAGCAGCTCTTAGGAAGCAAGTGTAGGTAGGGAAGAGGGCCAGGACTGTGCCATGGAGAAGAGGATCGTGCAGTTCATTTCATTTCTCTTGTTCCAATTCCACGCTCACTGACTGAGCAAGCACCTGATTATTATTTGCCTTTCCATATAGCTCCACCCATAAAAAACAAAGATGGGTCATATGGACTTGGAATATTCTAGTTCCTGGGACGGTTCTCATTGTAAATAAGTTGATCACATTCACAAGCTTGGTTTGAGTCAGACCCTGAGACAGAACACAATCAGAGTGCTGACAAGAACCTGATGGTGAGTCTGCATAAGGGGAAGCAGACCTGGGACTGTGGAAATTCCCCAAGGAAATACACGCTACACTGCTTGTCAGCACCCTTCCTTACCTCACATTTCTTTGCAGCCTGCCAAGCAAGCATGGTCTCACATCTACAAAACTGGTGAGAAAACCCTACGCCAGGTATAGCTAAGAAAATATTCCCTTCTTTGGCTTTATCCCTTTTCTTTTATTTTCAAAGTTCTACTAATTTGTCATGGTGTCTCTCACATAATTTTTCTTTCATAATGATTTTGCATTTCCTTAGATCAGGGCCCTTATTACAATACTATTTGGGGAGCATTCTGTGTGTGCTTGCTCTAATCTATTTTTAAAAATTTTTAAATAGGTAGCATTCACCTGGTTCAAAAATCAAAGTGACTAAGTATACAATGGGAAATCTCCTTTCCACCTTTTCCCAACCCTTGTTTGTCCCAGCAAAATCACTGCCCCTATGCTTTTTAGCTTATGTATCCATTAGAGTTTAGGTGGTTACTAATCTTTCGCTATTACAGAGTTGCAATAAGTAACTATATATACACACTTATGTATGGTTCGTGAGCTGTAGTTTGTCTTCTCTGATGAGCTGTGTTGATGGGAAAGACAATCTCCTTCTGTGTGGGGATGAGCAATTTCTGATAAAAGCTCAGGATCAAATTGCATTCTTCTCTTCCTTTCCTTTTAGTCTGGACACTTCCTGTATAACATGATTAAATAGCTCCCCTGGCTGACACAGTTCAAGGATGTTCAAGTTCAACTGTTTAATGCCTATTGTTTTGAAGATAAAAATGGCTTGTGCTGGCCTAATGAGAAAAAAATAAGAAGGTCCATTAAAGGCTATTGGAGAAAATGGGTCTGTGGGAGGCGGATTGACATGTAACTTCAGAAAACAATAAAAAACTCAGGTGAGACGTTAATGCATATTTGTCTTTTTTCCCTCCCATGGTGTTGCAGATTGTATTTTCCAAAGATACCGCCTCAATATATCCCATCCCATGTAGTCTTCTTACAATGTGACATAGACATTCTTCCTAATGAGTGGTAGGACCTGTCTTCTTCTCCTCCCTCGAACCTCAGCTGACCTTTATGACTCCTCAACCAACAGAATAGAGAGGAAGTTGTCCAGTTAAGCCTAGTCACCCCCCAGAAGCATAACAAGTAATATAATGATCCAAACCTACCAAGTTTTGGGATTATTCATTAAGCAGCAGAAGAAAATAGGAACATGATCTTAACCTTAAATTGTCTTTACATTTTCCCTGGTCCTGATTCTTTAATTTTCATTCATATTTTACCATAATTGTATGTGTGTATGTGTGTGTGTGTGTGTGTGTGTGTGTGTGTGTGTGTGTGTGTTTTGTTTTGTTTTTTTGTAAAAGAGGTCTACTTTATTTTTGGTCTGTTTTTATTGTAGGTCACCTCAAATCCTTTGTGGTTGAGAGTATAATTATAATGTAATTACATGTTTAAAAGTGCTCTGGTATCTAACTCACTGATGTAAACTCCCCAGTGTTATTCTGTAAACAAGGATAACCTATGAAAGCTTTACCATCATTTTGAGGGATTTTCTTAATTAAAAGAAAAAAGATTACTTTGTGTAGATCTGTTCTACATGTTCTGCTTCTTCTCCCCAAAATAGATCCTTTGCCCCTGAAAGTTTATAGAAATAATTATAACCTCATCTATGGACGACCAAATGGGCTAATTCATTCATCAAATAGGTCCTCAACAGACACTTATTGGATATCTATTGTGTGCAAGATATCTGACCAGGTTCCGAAAATACAAAAGGGCTACTGGACTCATGACTATATCTATTAAATGCTTGCCATTTGCAAAGCACTTGGGCATGCCTGGAAAAGCCTTTATATGCTTTCAGTGATGGAGGAGTGCTTAAAGCAGCAGCAGCAGCAACAACAACAACAAAATAAAGCAAAATGACCTGACAGGCAATTAAAAGAACAAAACAGAAAGAAAAAAGGAAAAAATTATACAGCCATTTAAAGTAGGTTCATTCATCTATGAATTCAGTAAAGGAAGCAGAGTTAATTTATTCTCTTCATGTTCACAGAAACAAAATAATGTATCATAGCATAAATCTTTAAAAGCAAAAGTATACTTAATACAAAAGATCATGATAGGATGTTACAGTTTTTTCAAATACATTACTAGTCACTACTTATTCAACTGTAATTCAAGTTTTTTTCTTCAGTTTTCCTAAATTCAACCCCAACCCAACTAAATAAGAATTTGTTGAATAAGTAGATTGGAAGCATGTATTTAGAGGAACAGATTAAAGATAACACTTGTTTTATTCAATAAGCAATTCTGAATACTTGGTATAAACAGCACTGTTTTGGGTGTTACAGAGAACTGCTAAAAGTAGAAGATACTGTTCTTATCTATGGCTAGAGGCAAGTATTATTTGCATTTATAAGATTTTACAATAAAATAAGAACATTTGCAAATTCACATCAGAAATAAGATTGTCAAATTTGTTACTATGGAATTCTGGCTATGCACCAAATACAAGAAAAACTATCAAACACATAAAATATCTTTACAAGCTTTTAGGGACCAGGAGAAAAACGAAGTATGAATTTCATATTCTTTCTGGTATTAACTTTTAACTACAAAGATGAAAATGAGTTCATGATGCACAGTCATATTTCTGGTAACACATTTTCAATGGTATACGGATGGTGAAAATCTATCCAAGTTTTTCCGAATAAAATGGAAATAAACCAAGGGTCACATAAAAGTAAAAACTAACTTAATTTATATCTTTTTTGAAAAAAAATTTGATATTTTTACTTAATGCTTTACAAATTGAGTAGGAAAAAATTTTAAATAAAACAAATTAACATTTATATTATAACAATTAAAATAAGATGACATTTGAAGACCCCATTCAAGTCTGAGAATAAATGATTCCATGAACTAAATATATAAAAGTGAAAAAGGCGAGATGGAACAAAAAGATATAGAAAAGTAAAAAGGAACTATAAAGAAATGTTGGCGGGGCGTGGTGGCTCACGCCTGTAATCCTAGCACTCTGGGAGGCCGAGGCGGGTGGATTGTTTGAGCTCAGGAGTTCAAGACCAGCCTGAGCAAGAGCGAGACTCTGTCTCTACTAAAAATAGAAAGAAATTAATTGGACAACTAAAAATATATAGAAAAAATTAGCCGGGCATGGTGGCGCATGCCTGTAGTCCCAGCTACTCGGGAGGCTGAGGCAGGAGGATCGCTTGAGCCCAGGAGTTTGAGGTTGCTGTGAGCTAGGATGATGCCACGGCACTCTAGCCCGGGCAACACAGTGAGACTCTGTTAAAAAAAAAAAAAGAAATGTCCTCCCCTAAACCTACACAGCCTAACACAGAGCAAGACGCTGTCTCAAAAAAATAAATGGTTGATTAATAAAAACCTTCTGATGTTATAGTTCATCTTCTGAATCTTGATCATAAACTTTCTGAGGTTGTCTCTTAACATTGATTACCAAATCAATGGTTAATATTTTTGTCAAACACTGAAGAACTGATGTTAGTAGCTGGTATTTACCAGCTACTGATTCCAAACCTGTCTGACTGCTTACTAAGGGTTGATTGGTTTGCAGTGCATGGAGAGCTCTTATATATACTTGTGGAAAGCTGTAGTTTCCTTTCTTAGATTTATAAAGGATTTTGGGAATGCCTAAAAGTGCATTAGCTACTATCATACTAACCATGGTTTGTTCTGATTGCTGGCATTTTTTGGCATAATTGAGAAGATAGTAATGTAACAAGATTTCAAAATTACCACCTACTGGCAAAACACAACCTGCTGGCATTGATGAGGAATAGTAACTCTGGGAAGTACACATATCCGGTAACTCACATCTCACTGGTAACATGCTGTCCTTTCCAGCAATTTTTGTGACCTGTAAATTTTCATAAGAAATTTCTATTCTAGTGTTTTCTGTTATTGAATTAACAGTGGAATTACTCTCAATTAATGGTTCACAGTTGTCGATTATTGTGTTTTTTCCCAAAGATAAACATCTAAGTGTTTCATCTGTTTGGAATGTACCTGTTGGTGTCAGTTTTGCTGTTGAACATGGAATATACATTTCTAATTCTACATTTGAAACTACTAAATTTGAATTTACTATTAAATATGTTTGAGTTTTTTCCAATTTATCTTTGTTCTTTACAGCTGTGTCCTGACGGGGACTTTGTAGTGAGCCATTACCAATTTCTGGTAATTGATTACTTTCTCTACTATTTTTAGAAATAAGAGGACTTGAAGTGTCGTTTTGGTCATTGGCTTCAGTCATGTAATTTAGATCAAGATCTTTAAATAACTGCCGAAGCATTTTAAATGCTCCATGTAAAGCACCCTCATGTTGTTCAATAAGACCTTGCACTGGTCCACAAAGAACTATACAGTGTGGTATAAACGTACGTGTGCTAGCCAAGCCAAGATGAACATACCTTTTGGATCTAAGGATGAGGGGTTTACAAAATTTCACCAAAGCAGTGTCGGAGATTTCACACTGTGAAGAGGCCTGTGGTAGTACAAATGGAGAAAGACCAATGATCCTCTGGATAAGAGAAACTTCTTCTGATGATAAACACTCCACCACTGATATGCCATTCAGTCCTGCGTAATAAATAACTAAATCTGGTTGTTTCACACTAGATAGGAGCAATTTTACACTCTGACTATGTAAATGTTTCATTATTGCTTTTGTCCTTTCCATAACCCAAAACTGAGATGTTTGAAATTGTGCTTCTGAATTTAGAATAAATTCTGATCCAGAAGTCAAAAAAAGAGGCTGAATGGTTTCTGTTACCATCACTATTCTTATGTCACCATCTGCTGGGCAGTACACAGAAAAATCTCTGTGAAGCACAAGCCCAGCTACAATCCTGGAATCTGAAACAGGAAGACCAGTGACACCAACATTTAACTCTACAAAACAGTCATCCACTAACTCAAATACATCAATCCCACTTTCGCAAGTCATACACTTGAAAAAATAGTCACACATCAATTGTGAAATAAATTTCTGATTATTTCTTCCCACTCTTCCACAAAAGTATGCTTCTAAGAGCAATTCTAAAGAACTCCTTGACAATGTTCTCTCTTTAGCAGAAGAAAAGATAGACAAAAAGTGTCTACTTAAGTACTGGTCCATAATACAGTCTAATACTTGTGTCTGAAACATTAGAAGACTTTGGGAAATAAATTTCCACTGACAGCAATTTTTCCAGTGCCTTCCATGGGTTTGAATATTTTTGCAAATCAAAGAATCCTTTTCTCTGTCTGTGACTGCATGAAGTCCTCTAAGCAAATGGCAAAGAAAAATAATAAATGTTTTAGCACCATCTCCTGTTTTTTTGAGATGACTGGAAACGCAGGCCACTATCATCCTGTACAAAACGGAAATAAAGGAACTCAGATTTTCAGAAGGCTGACTTCCTACATCTGAATCAAGTTAAAAACATGTTTTCACAGCTATAGGCATAAAATAAGAATACTGCCCCTTTGATACACATCCTTACTTTGAGCTTTTTCAAGTTCGTTTGTTCTACTCCAAGATCCTAGGGTTGGGCGGGGTGAAAAGTGTTCTTGGGAGTTAATAAGATTTGGGGTCCAAAGAGTGTTCCCTTGGGCAGGGCTCTAGGGGCGCACGCACACTGGTGTCATCCGAGGTCAGTTTTTCCAGGTACTCAGCCTCAGGATGGGGCAAGGGGTTCAAGGAGATGGCCTAGGGTGCCAGCTATGGGCTAGAGTGTGGGACGCGGGTACCTGGCTATGGGATGCTCTAAGTGTAGCGCCTCCAGGAGGCGGCCTCCATCCCGGCTGAGCAGCACCTCGCCAGTGGGCTTCGTACACAAAACTTGCCGCCCCTCGGGCCCTACGCAGCAGCTCACGATGGTTTCCAGCACCTCGGCCACCTGCAACGCCGCCTTCACAGATCCTGCGGCGGCCATAGAACTTCGGGTCTGGGCCGCTTCTCATCCCCAGAAAGCGGAACAACAGGACGCATCCAAGAAAGGGGCGGAGCGCGGCCGGAAACGGAAGGGGCAGGGAGGAACCGGAAGCCAGGAGCCAAAGCGGAAGCAGGGGTAGCACGGCCTCTGGGTTGGGTGAGCCGGCTGCTTTTCGGACCGCTTGGCGGGAAAGCCCTGCAGCTCTGTCGGGGTTGGGGGTTGCCGGCCCATAGTCCGCAAAAATAAGGAGGCAGCGACTTCTAGGAGCTGTGCCTCGAGCGGTAACCCTAAGCCTTTCCCTGGCTTCCTGGGTGAATTCATTTCCCTCTAGTAGCATCAGCTGCTCCCAAATCCCCTAGTGTCCCAGGAAACTTCCTCCGAAGTCAACACAGTAGTGGGGCCTGGGTGAAGGTGGGAACGGGCACCGCGGGTAGAATTCGGCTGGCTCCCGTCACCCGCCAGAAGCTGCTTATTTTCTGACAAAGCCTCTGCCTTGGATTCACGCTGTCCACATTCTGCCCATCAACTCTTCTCACCATCACAAAAGCAGTTTCTAGGTGCAGAACAGATGGTGAGAGCCTGGCCACGGCCATGAATTGCAGGCTTTCTGTCTGCTGCAGGGGGCTTTGTCACATTTCCTGGGCTCAGGCATCAGTGTAACTCCAGCCACCACAACTCAGTTACCTTTTCTTTAGCAGAAATGATAGATGTAAAGACTTAAATCCATTATTTACATTGGTGATCAGTAGTATGCTTTAAAAACAGCGGCCTAAGATTATTGGATACAATCCAAAGAACATACTATTTCAGGTATTAAAACACACAGACACTTAAGGAGAGTATGGGCTTTGGATTCAGACCTGGGTTAGCTCTGCCATTTACTTGTTTGTGACATTCAGTAAGTAACCTCTTTGATCCCCTCTTTTCTCATCTTTAAAAAAATGGCGATAACATATATTATAAAAGAAAAATAGCATACGGTTTTCAGGAGGTAGAGAATGTTTACAAGGCACAACACAGAACATGTCAAAACATATCACTATTAGCAAGTAAATGATCTTGCAGATGTTTCATTGGGGTTGAGCAGTGAGGGGCTGTTTTCCTTACTCTTTATTCAGATGACCATGACGGAAGAAACCTGTAGTCCCACCCCTCCCTTCCACGCTCCCCAATTGATAGAACCAACGACAGCCAGAAGCAATTGGACCCTGATAGGCGAGCAAGAATGGGAAAGGAGGAGGGTGGAGGAAAACCAAAGAATGGACTTCTTGGAGCTCATCTGATGTTGACTCATCAGTACGGACTAAAAGGTGATTTGAGGGGGAAAAACTCTTTCCCATGGGTTTAGTGTATATGTTAGTTTAATAGTAATGCTTTCTTCTGGTTCTATTCATCACAGAGGGGTATGTTATTCAATATAGATTCAAGCAGTGGTTTATTCCAAACATTTAAAAGCGAAGTGCTGCTATCAGAGTTCTATTTAAGTGTACTGTGGAGACATGGACTCACACTTGTGCTCTTACTCTTACACTAAGAGTGGGCTGTCACTCTTGCTGTGTAGCTTTTGGAATCATTTAACCTCTCTGAGCCTCAGATTCTTCATGCATAAAATCTAGCTAACTTCCACTTATTTTGAGTTTATTTGAGAATGAATATAAAGTACCAAGTAAAGCATACTTTAGGGATTCTGTTAAATTCCTTTCAAGCCCTTCACCATCCTTTGCAGCTCTGCCCACAAAAAAAGGAAAAAAATTAAAATCAGGACTAAGTAATTTAGTCACCATGTTATATTGACAGTCAGTTGATCACAGTTTGCTCTTTTTAAAAATTTTATTTAGAATGCTTACTTGTAGAAGTCAGCATTTTACAGATTAGAAAAATTCTTTTCTCTCTGCAAACATTTATAGTAGGTTAGGAATAATAGATTAGAAATGTAATACATTACAAAACAGTAGCCTATGACTATCTGTACATTTACTATGCACCTTAAGGAAAAGAATTTGACAGTGTGCTGTACTTAAACTGCAGATAACATACTTTTAACTCTGTCATACAAAACTGACCAGTGGTACTGCCTGAATTTATAAATGGCCATTAAACAATATTTGAACTTAGATGTATATTTAGCATGCTAAAAAGTGAAAAAAAATTCAGCTGAAGTTCTGTGGCTCATCAGTTCAAATGTTTCATGGCATTTTGTCTTTAAATGAAAAATTTTGATATTGCAATACTAAAATAATTTTACATGATAAATGCATAAAGAAATTTTTCTAAATATTTTAGAAAGTATATTCACATTCATTTGTCATGGGTTTCTTGTGGCTCTTCTAACTATGTTAATCATGTTGATAAGACACTGGTCCTATACGGTTTTAACAGTCCATCTTCAATTAAACACTAACAAAAACAGTATGTTAACAGTGACAAAATAAATTAAATACACTAAACTCCCATGATAGGGAGAACAAAAGGAAACCAAATTACATAATAATGGCAGGTTATACATTTTAAAGAATCTCTTTTTCCACTTAGTCAAATAAGATAGAAATGGAAATGTAAACTTACTGATTTCTGTGGTTTCCCCTATTGGTTCAAATTGGAAAATTTGATGTAAATGCTAATATTCTACTTCTGTACATTTAACATAATTCAAAATAATCTGTAATGTATGGCTCATCAATACCATCATCACCGTATGTTCAAACAAAAAAACAAAAATATTCATTGCTCACTAGAAATGCTGAACACTGGAAAAATGGAATTTTATATATTTGTTGTCTTAAATTTTGCTTAAGATATTCTTCAAAAAGTTAAAACTGCCTTCCACAAAATTTTGTGTATGTGGCACAAGTTGACACCCAAAACAGTGTAAATTCCATTGAAAAGGCACTGTTTACAATACTCAGAATAATCTGACAAGTCTACTTTAATGATGTCTGAGAGTGAATATATTTGAAAGAGGTAAATAGACAAACCCTTATAAAAGTACAGCATTACTGTTTAAATATACTATAGCTAAATAAAAGGAAATAAAGTGACACAGAGAAATGACCCATTTATGACAATTAAGCCTATAAACACTTTGAATCCTATTATAGTTCTGTAACATAAAAATGACAAAAAATATTTTCTTAAAGGCACAAAAGCGTGAACACTAAATGACAGTTGTATTTTACAAGGCCAACTTTTCAATGGAATGCAGTTGCCAACTGAGCTATGACAAAGATTACACTGTACCTTTATAATTAATACAAAAAAGTACTGACATGAAATACAAGTAAAATATCTATTGCTGAAACTTACTTAACATTTCACATGCCCTATTTATTGCCTTATCCTTGGCCAGCTACATCTCTTACTAAATGGTGGATAACTGATGGCATAGTAATTTAACAACTAAGAAAGATCAATAATTACTCATCTAAGTTTTCATGTGGGAAAATGAAATTTTGATAAACGTTTGAAGAAAACTGGTCATAAAGCTATAAATCCTAGAAACCATTATGAGGCTCTCAGACAATTGGAAACTGTAAATCACATTATGAATCCATGTGTGAAGGAAGATTACTCTCAGGTAAAGAACATTCAAAGTCAATTACATACTATGGCTAAATACAAAATTAACTATGTGTTTTAAAGATTCACATACTAATCCTAGTAGAAGCACTGATCTAAAATTAAACCACCAATTCCTGAGTTTTGTGTTCAGTTCATAGAAAGGAATTCATACAACTAAAAGCATTAAAAGGACTATTGGATTAGACGTATGCTTTTAGTGTATTAAAAAACAGTCATGAATAACCCTGCTCTTTCTTATGAAATAGTTTTTGACTCTTTGGGTAAAAATCCATAACATTTGCCCTAAAAGAATTTTTTTTTTTAAATAAAGAAAATACCTTTCTAATCTTAGAAGACACCCATACAAATAAAACATCATCTTGACCAAATAAAAATAACAAACAAGAGGATAAGACCAAAACCCTAAGAGGTGGGTCACAAAAATTTTTAAGTTTTCAGGGTTTAATGATGAAATTACTTTGTGATCAGCCAATCAAGTTATATGTAATATAAATACTAATTTAAACCATAAAAAAGATCAAATTGTACAATATTTACAAACTATCATATATCAACGAATAGGCAGTTGAGCATAACATTGGTAACAGAATGTGAATACAAAAATTATATTGACAAATATGAACTATAACAAAAAAACCACTCACTCCAATGTAGTCATGAGAATACTGGCTATAAGTATACCTTATTTATGCTTTTATCAATTTAAAAAATAAATTCACATGCACATATAAAATACAACATTATTTTGTCAACGAAACATGGGAAATGGTTCTTCATAGAAACCTAAGCGTACTTAAGACAGCTATATTGGTTAGGGGAAAAAAGCAGGCTCTTTTTATTTTAATTTTCATAATTTAGCAATAATCCTTTGATTTTATATTTATCACAGCATAAACAGTTGATTGTAGTTTTACTAGTGTCTCACAGTCTCTTCTTAGTCAAAGGCAAATGTGGCCAGAGCAATTCCTCTCTCTGACCTTCATTTTAATTAATAATTATTTCAAAATCTATACTTTCAGGATTCTAAGACATATTTTAAGACAATATGTTCCTAAACTTAACTGCTCTTGGCAAAACTTGCTCTTGAGGACTTACAAATATGTATGTAAAAACACAATGTCAAAAAATTAAACTGAAAAAACAAACAAACAAAATCTTAGGAAAAAGTGTGCCTGAGCCTGAACAAAAGGAATCTTAAAGAATTGTGGTTTTACCACAGAAGGAAGTTACTAAGAACAAAAGGGGATAATAAAGAATTAAACTTCAGAACTTGATAATCTTCTCAGATGTTCAAATTATTGCACATTTTAAAGAAACCAATTTTAATGTACACATAAAGGCCACCATACAGTGTCTTATTGCCTTTCTCTTTTTGGCTTTTGAAGTAAAATAGTAGTTATAATTTTTTTATTCTACTTATTCACTGAACACATTAGGGTCTAAATGAAAGCTAAAATAAATTTTTCATAATGAAAAAAACATGAATTATCAGCATTTCATATGCCCTTTAAACATCTCTAGAATTTGGCCTAAGTTATGGACCAGCTGACTTAAAAAAACATTAAAAAACAGTGAATTTTGACCACACTTTTTTTAACAAGTGCTTAAACTGGTATTGTAATCAATCCAAGTAGTTGCGTACAAGTTTTTTAATATTGATATACACGTAAGTACATATATACCTGTTTCTATAAACATTAAATTCTAGGGGTTAAAAAAAAATCTGTGTAAACTTTTTAAAAAGCAATTTGCCACCTGTCTCTCTCAATATATTCACTGACCATTCACACGTTTTTCTTGCTATTTCTAAGAAGACAATTGAGCTGGGTGCTTTGGAAATTATTTTAACAGTACAGTGTATTGAATTAATCATGTCTATTATTCCATCATTTCTCAGTCTGTAATTCCTTATTGATAAAAGCTTTGTGCCTGTTTTATGAAGAAAATAGATTACTATACATATATTATAAGATTGATGCATTTTTGTTATGAACAATGTTAACGTATCTCAGAACATATTATAGAATACAAAGACTACTATCAGGTAAGAGTACATAAGAGACAATTGTGTATACATGTGGATTTATTATGCTCACATGTAGACACATTCTCACAAAAGCTACGAATGTCCTGGCACTTAATACACAGGTCACTTTAATAACCAAATAGGATAGCTCTTGTTTCAGGTTAAAGATAAAAGATATTAAAGGTCAACACCTCTATATTTATTTCCTAGGTGTTTTTGTTTTAGAAATATTGTGATGTTTTAATAAAGACCAAGCCAACTTGAACATTGGTCCTAGGCCAAATCTGATCTTTACAGTTCATTGATTCAACTGTAGAGAACTTCTATTTAAACATGAAGTTTATTATGACTTGAAGCAAAATCAGGAGGAAAATGAGGAAGTAGTCTTTTTGCTGCAGAAAATAATCCGTGGCAGGTGTGCTTGAAACTAAATGATTTCGAAGAGCCATAATATTCCTACAAAAATAAGCAACAATAAATTTTAGAATGATTTGCCAAAAATGTTAGCATAGAACTCACAATTTGACATTTTATGTTCACAGAGCATTTAATTACATTATCTAAAGTAACTAGTTCAATCAATTACTACTACCCAAACAGGGAACTGATTATGCTTTGTGAAGCCATTATTAGGCTTTGTTTAAATTCCACATTGTACCAAGCATATTACTTAATCATATGCATCAAACATAATTCTTAAAGTTTGACGATATAGAAACGTATCAACCTTCTCTGTTATAACAGTGGTTTTAAAACAGAAATTTTGCTTCTTCATTGGCTCACTATCTTTACAGAGATAGAGGTGGAGGTAGAAGAAAATCCTAAATTCCCCAGGAAAAAATATTAAATAGATTTCATAATATTCCCAACTTGAAGAATGCTCTATGGGCATTTCATATGCTAACAAAAATACAATGTTAATTTAGTCATAAAATGAGCTTACACTATCCTCATGTCACCCACTCTAGCTTAAAAAAAATGCTGATTAGGGAAGCACAGTTTCTTTCGTGGATTTCTGTTCTTAAAGTGTTTTACCAGTATAAAAATTTTAAAGAGAAAGAAAGGAGGCAAAACAATCAAGTAGGCTAATTAATTTTTACATATAATTAAATTAGTAAACTTGAACGCTTTATATAAGGCTGATGACACCAAGAAGCAAAGAACATGCTCCCTGCTCTAAAGGAGTTCATAGTCCTTTAGACCCCTTCAGGGTAGACGGATACACACAATAACAAGTCTGTAGTGTATTAAGTACCCAAAAGGAGTATGTATAGGGAGCTATGCAAGCTGAGTTGAGGGATTAATTAACTCTATAGGGAAGAGTAAGTGATTAAAAATGTTATAAATAAGGTTGGCATTTGAGTTTAATTCTGAATAAACTCAGGGATTTATTCTTGATGGGCAAGGTGAGAGGAAGGGCAATTAAGTGGATTCAGTGTGGGCAAAGGTCCAAAGATGAGATAGCACAGCATGTTCTTAGATGTAAGGAGTATCATAGGACTAGAGCATGAGATGGGTGCAGGGGAATGACAGGAGACAAGGTTGTATATGAAAATAGCAACTAAATTTAAGCCACAAGGTCTCCAAGAACAGAGAAAATTTCTCTCTTTTTTTAAAAATCATCAAGAACATCTAACACTGAGTGCCGAATACATAAAAGCAGCTGGGCTAATAGTAAACTTCTTTGACAACTGATATAGCATGGGAGTCAACCAACTGCACTCATGCTAGCCTTAGCAATGGAATAGGATCAGGAGCCCTTCTCTAAGAAAACTCCCTAAGTGTTAATAACCTTTAGTTGCTGGATCATGGGGTGATGTGTAGGAGGAGTCTGGGACTGCAAGAGCACTCAAAGGTCTCTAGCAGTGACTATTTACCCACTGTTATGGAAGTATTTCAGTATTTCAACAACTGGTACATTCCAATTAAATATTAGCCATGCACAAAAGGGACTGTAGAGCCTTTGTTAATTGACTTTCTCAGAAACAACCCCACCTCCACATTCAATTCAGCTACATTCCTAGCACGCTACTGCAATAACATGAAGCAAATACCACTTGTACTCTCCCAGAGAATAAACAACCTCCCCCTTGCCTCCAGTACTTTAGTGCTGGAAGAATTTCATAAATGTCAGACGTCAGATGATAGAGGCCAATGTTCTATTTTAGCTTAGCAATGTTATAGAAATGTAAAGTTTGCATATGATTTCCTACGTAACAGGATTCTTAACTACTCCTTCTGGACTCAAGTGAATAGCCAATGTCAGTATATATTACCTTTTAATTTCTTCCTGTGTTTGTTTTATAGATTCGATGGAACTTTGAATGTCTCCCAGTTCTATCCCTTTCTTTCTTCTTGTACTTGGTTTCACTGATTGAGCTAAAAAGACATTTAGAATGAAGTTGTAATCATAAACACAATCTATAGTTCAACTTAATGAGTCCTGTATCATAAAAATTTCCCTAGGCATTAGTTTTTGTAGCTTCGAGATTAGCATAATACAAATA